AAGGCGACAAACTTATTTTCCTGACTCAAATTATTATACATATATTATGTATTATTGCAAATAATTATCGGCAAAAAATTGTTTTCTAGTAGAACTCATGAATACCCCATTGGTTTATAATTCTACGCGTTAGTGTTCCAAGCGTGCAAGCTAGACAGCAACCATAAATGCGATATACAGGACCACTTAGACTAGGCTTTTTCTAAGGCACTAACGCCCAACTACTCCAGGAGACACGCTTGAATTCTGAAAGGGTCCCTTGATGGAAGTGTGCCTCAAATTTGGAAATTGTCTTTGTCCCTGTAACTTGCTATCCTCATACTCTTAAAAGTATAGGACTACTATTCTATAAGTTTATGTAGCTTAGTTTACCATTTCTAAGCGAGCCAAATAATTGAATTTGTAATGCTTCGACATGGGAAAGAAATGGGGTAGAGTTGAATGAGGGGTGTTTTTGTTCCAATCCATATAATTAATAATTTGGACTTAGTTTGGTAGGGCAATGTTGTTAAGTAAAAGAAACGGAGTATCTTGTGCGTATCGGATCAATGGCCAAGTGGTGATCGACTTCTGACACGCGCAGTGGGTGGGAAATCTCATGCTTATTTGTCAGAAAATCACTTGTCCTACATTGTGTTTTCTTTGGATTCAAAACACTTATAATTTACAATGCAAAAGTTTATTTCACACGAGTTGAGGCATATTAGAACTTAAACCAAACATCTCACTACTGATCGTGGTCCAAATGCTATGTTTCAGGCTATGACCAGTCTCTCAAATTATTTTTTTGGGTCGATAGAGTCATGTGATTTTGAGAGTTCGTAATTGGTAGTGCAGTATAGGGATTTTGAAATTGTGTTGTGGCCCCATTAGATGTGATGTGTGACGTTATAAACAATGATCTTGTGAATGAATTTGTATTGTACAGCAAATTGCAATAGGAAGTACGGTCTAGGTATAGGGACTTTTGAAATTGTAGCCCACCAATCATGATGCCTGACACAACAACTACACATTATTTTCACGAGTGCCATGTTCGGAATCGGGTGGGTTTCCAAAGAAATATCTCAGCCTAAGGCTCTAGTTAATTTTCTCATAACCCTTTAAAACAGTCAACGTTAGATGCTACTTTTCATGTTATGAGGTATTTATTGGGTTATTTTTCAGAGATCAAATTTCTTTTTTTTTTTTTACAAGTATTCTTTTTTTTCAATTAATGTTTTTAGGTACGCAGTCAAACATTTATATGAACTTCTTTGTTAAAGAAGTTTATCACATACACTGCTAAAAAATGCATAAGCTAAAAGCTAGTTGTTTCAGTTTTGAAAGCGTATTAGGTATTCAAACACATTGTTAATAAAACAAAATAAAATAGTTATGTATATAAGTTTTTCACCCGCTATTTGGTATGGTCTGACAAGGGAAGGTTGCTTAAAAAAATACGTGGAACTCACTACATTTTTACCTGTTCAAAATGGATGAAATGAGAAGGGAAAGGTGGGTTTTTAGTTTTTACATCGAAAAGACTACAAATTATATTTTTTTATTATGAATATTTATGTAAATTTACACAGTTAAATAGAAAAAAGAAAAGATTTTTTTTTTGTTTTACTAAATAACCTGCAAATTAATATTAATATTCCCTTTTTTTTCTTAAGCCAAAAATAAATATAAAGTTTTAAAACAATAATTCACTTATTTTTTTAACAAATGAGTCCTTTCTGCTCCATCTATTGGAAGCCTGCCTACATGACGTTGGTCGTTGCAAGGGGAAGCCCAATAGCCCATATTACCACTAACAAATAAGGTGACATCCCTGATTTAGGATCACATGTTACAAACAAAAAGGCTTCATAACTTAACGAGCTTCGTGGATCTCAGTTAAGCCCGTTTAAAGGGAAAATATCGGAGATAACTTCCATTATGTTTGGTCCTCAGTTCAGTTAAAAACAGATAAGGCTCATGATAAACACACCTCCACTCCCTTGTAAACACACCTCCTTTTTAAAAAAATATATATAAAATGTCTAAATTACCCTTAAAAAAAATAAAATTCCTAAGTTTACACTCCCTTCCTCGCACCCCCTTCCCCTCACCCCACACCCCCCTTCCCCGCAAGTAGAACGGGCCGTACTGCAAGCAGAACGGCCCGTACTGCAACGTTCTGCTTGCAATGCGGCCCGTTCTGTTTGCAGTGCGGGCCGTTCTGCAGCAAAACGGACCGTACTGCTTGCAGTACGACCGTTTTGCAAGCAGTACGGCCCGTTCTGGGGCCGTTCTGTTGCAGTACAAGTCACCGCGTCACTTTTAAAATGGCTACCTTATGACTGAGTTTAAAACCCTGATTTTAAAAGTTATTTTTGTACTAATCTTTTTTTCCATAGAATAAGTAAGAGTCTTTCTCTTACAAGACCACCTGCTGACATTGCGCACCCCTCTTCTTTCTCTTTCTGACACTCCTCTTCTTCTTTTTTTTTTTCCCGCACCTCGCACACCCCTCTTCTTTCTCTTTCTGACACTCCTCTTCTTCTTCTTCTTACTGTTACGGAAAGTTCTTTCCAGAATTATATAAAAATGTTCCGGAAAATACTTTCCATAATATTAAATTCTTATTCCGGAAAGTATTTTCCGGAAATGTTTTGTTACATAATTCCGGAAAGTACTTTCCATAATATTAAAGTTACTATTACGGAAAGTTCTTTCCGGAATTATATGAACAATAATTTTACTATTCCGGAAAGTACTTTCCGGAATGCTAATGACTGTAAAAGTACTTTTCGAAATGCTAATGACTGTAAAAGAACCTTTCTTATGCTGGTTATGGTGGAGGCTAGTCTTTTTTTTCTATTCAGAATGACTGTAAAAGTATATTGCTTAATAACATTGAGTGGAAAGAGGCTTTGGGAAGAAGATGGCTGTGGAGTGTGTGGGGTGCGGGGAAGGAGGGTGGGGAAGGGAGGTGTAAATTTAAGAATTTCATTTTTTTAAAGGGTAATTTAGATATTTTATATATATTTTTTTTAAAAAGGGGTGTGTTTATATGAGAGTGGAGGTGTGTTTATCACCAGCCAACATATAACCTCCTTTCAATCCATCGATTATCTGTCACGTTATATGGGCATTCCTTCAACTTGCTATAAGATGGAGAGGATCACGTAGGAGTGGGCCTTTTTTTTTTTTTTTTTTTTTTTTTAAGTAAACCTCGATTTTGTCTTTAGAAAAACAATTCAATTTATTTGAAGGCTTAGAGAAAAAAAAAAAAGTTTCCAGATTATAAATATGAGACACTATAGTCATTCAGTTATTTCTGTTTTATTTACTAATCTCTAGACAAGTTAATATATCAATTAAATTCTGAAAAAATATCACTAATCTAAATTGTTTCTTTAAAATATATAGTAGAAATAAGTGAAAGACTAAAATATCTCACATTTATAATCCCCAAAGGCTATTATTTAGTTAGCTTTGAGAAAATAGGTGATATACATTATTTATGATAAATTGATGACTTTTATTTAAAAGTCATTTGAATAGTGATATTTAATTAATTGACAGTGAAGAATTATTTTACATTGTTGGTATATAATCATTAAATTCTTTTTTTTTTCATTTAAACACTATCGAGTCTAATTACCCAAATTTCTCGTGGTTTTTGGTTACCAAACAATGTGGGCAATAGCATCCTTACGGTTTTTAGTCACATTCTTTAAGCCATTCTTCAAATTACCATTAGATTAGATAGGAGTGGAAATTTTTGTTTTCCATTTGTAGTATATACAAAGCTAGGTCACACAAAAGGAAAGCTTTTACATGTATTGTTCCGGCCAAGGGGGCATCTAGAATTTTTCTCCTAGGTCAACCTTCCCAAGTCAGAACATTCAAGTGTGTAAGGTGTCTGCATTAGGTTTAGGGTTTTAGGTTTTATAGCTACTCATTGTGGCCTTGTAATCTCGTCGGTTTCGTGATTCTTAGCCGTTTTTTACGTTTCGAATATTTGATTATTATTAGTGAGATTTTATTCTTGATATGGTGCATGCTAAGTTAAAGTTCTTATCTTTAAGTCCCTTGGTAAGTCTATATCGGAAATCAACCGAGAGGGCACCTAAGATGGTAATGCAAGTCCATTCCTTGGTCCCCTAGTATTTCTTATCGGCCTTTCATCTTGATGGTAATGCAAGTCCATTCCTTGGTCTCCTAGTATTTCTTATCGGCCTTTCATCTTGGCATTCATCTCAGCCAAATATCCATCAGTAACTCATCTCGACATAATTCCGGGATGGTACATGTATAAAAAAAAAAATTTAGATTTTCTTAACTTCTTATAATCTATCTCGATATTAAAAATTTTGTTACAATTCGCGTACCTTTTCATTCTTAATTAACTAACCTAAAGCAGATGGGTGTTCGAATTAATATAATTTATTTTATTTGAATTTAATATATATGTGCCAAATTCCCATAAAAGGTGGATACGGTTATAAGATCCTTTCCATTTTCCTTTCTTTTTATTTCTTCTATAACTAAAGTTTTAAAATTACAAATGTAACTTATCTTAAAATATACATCAATTTTATTTTATTGTTTTTTAAAAAAATTAAAAATAAAAAGAAATGTAGAGAAAAGGAAATTGAGACATTTTCTTATAAGAAGCCCGAAAATCGTCTATTAAAGCAACATTGTGCTTCCATATATCAGACATGGACAGTATAATATTATGGGGTACCTCGTGAGTCGAGAAATCAGCTTTCGGTGGCCTCCACGAATCACGCTGAGTTTTCAAAATCTTTACAACAAGTTTCAACTTTCAATACTACTACCCATAAAAAACCAAGCATCTTTTCTTCCGTAGTGGAAGAGACAAATTCGATGATACAAGGATTTTATGTTTTTCTAAAAACATATATAGTCTAATAATAATAATCAAGTTAAACAAACTGATACAATTTCATCACCACTATGAAACTTTTACTGGCAAGTAGTAACATACATTAGAAAACACATTGAACCTTAAGTATAGCCTTGTTTGTATTTGCGGAAGAGGTCCTCAGTTTTGGCGTTTCTAAAGGCACAACACCCTATCAAATAGACGATTATTAAAACAATGACAGTGATGATTAATATGACATTGGCCCTTCTCCACTCCTTCCTAAGATTTGCCAATAAACCGGCCTTGCACGAGTCACAGTTGTAGCAAAGTTGTGTTTGGTCGTTGCTCCACTGCAGGCAATCCATATCTGCTGCTGTGTTAATCGGGCTTATCCAATAAGTTGGGTTCACAAACGTGTAAGCACACTGCGTCGGTGGCTTGCAGCACCCTGACTGCATATAATAAAAATTAAGGTTAATTAATAAATTCTCTCTAAAGGGTTAACTCTTTCTAACAAATACTTTTCTATACAAACCAACCAGAGATTTATCAAAGTTGTTGGTGACTTGAGCTGGTTTGAGCATTAGAGTAAGTGCTCGTCTGAGAAATATATTATAAAAAGAAAATCACATTTAAGAAGGCTTTTGAATTCTTTTTTCAAAATAATGCCTTGTACTTGTAGTATTAACTAAATATTTTCTCAAGAGAAATAATGACGTAAGTTTTGAAAAGTTTAAACACACGTCTTTAAGCATGTAAGCAAGAAGAAAGATGATGTATAGAAAGGGTTTAAAAGAAGCTAAGATGGGTTTAAGTTTTGACCTGCATGGGGGTTAGACGTGCGTTAAAGAAGTCCTGAGCCATTCGGTAACTCTGGTTGAGCTCAGCACACATGTTGGTTTGGCTAAGACAGCTTCTGATACGATCCCACTTGAAAGAGCTTCTCACCCTTCGACGAAGGTAGCCCGAGAAATCATCCATGCGGTACTCCAAGTAAGCACGGTTTGGTTCAATGGTGCCATGGCCTCGAAGAGTGACCATGTAGACGAACACCACCAAACACACTAGCAGTATTACAAGCACGAGCATGGCAATGAGGTAGATTATGAGGAGCCAAGAGATTCTCCAAAAGGCTCCAATGAAACCTGCGAGAGACACAACCAGGATGAGAACTCCCAGGATGATCACTGGCCATTGTAGAAACTGGACGCAGGAATCGGCTTGGCCGTTTATTAGCCAGATTCCGGCACCGATGATTGGGATCGAGAGGATCACTGCCACGAAGTTTATGGCTCCGATCACACTGTTGCTCATTGCCATCTTGGTCTCCTCTGATGTTCGGTCCTAAGAAAGACTAGTTGATGAAAAACGAAATGAGTGAGGGTTTGGACAGTGCATAAAGAAGTGTCAACTTTTGATACATAGATATGGAGTGCTCTTTGTTATCCCTCTCACCCATTCAATTTTAATTTCTTCATTTCCTTGGATACCTAAAAGCTAGCTGCTACAGTGAATCAATATTATAAATCTTTGGACTTTGATCCTTCGGTTATCTTATATTATTATTATTTAGATAATGTTGTTGGAGGTGAGCTAATATCTTCTCCATTTTTCTTATTGATCCCTTCGTTCATGATAATCCTCGTACCTGGTTGGTCACACTTTTAAATTAAAGTTCAGCTAGCTTAATTAAAGTTTTTGAATTCAAAATTTGAATATATACTTACGTTAATTAATATTTGATGAAAAAATTTATTATTCATAGTACATCTATTCAACTCAACCTATCACATTATACAATATTTTTTATTATTTCTATCTCATAAAACATTCTTTTTTTATCTTTTCTATTTTAATCTCTATTATACAATTAAATGTTATAAAAACTGATTCTACAAATAGAATATATTTTTCAAAAAATTAAATCCATTCAAACATGATAACATCACATTAATAGTACGTCTTTTAAGATAAAGTATAATTAATTTATCTGGAAATAAGGTAGTACTCCATTGCTCCAGAAGGACAAGATTTTGAAAAAAGTGGTGCCTTGTACAGTAGACATGGAGACAAGAAGGGAAAAAAAGTGGTTGCCAGCAATCTATGGTACAGCGTAGGTCATGACTCCTGATGCCTTTTTCTGCATCGAGCTTGACTTTGAACCCTCATGTTCACATGCTTTTCTTTCAAAAGGGTCATGTTTTTTGGGTTAATATTTCTCTAAACAAAAGGCTAATCAGCAATGGTTGTGGAGATTATGGGCCAGAATGTTTTAAGGACAGGCCTGCTTGCAGAAACGCTATTCTGGACCTTGTTCCTTAGTATATGTCGGATTAATAGTTACCAATGATGTGTCAGGCCATGATTTCGATGAAAGTCACCTCAACTTCTCCACTGAAATTAAGCCACATCAATTAAAAATATACGTTAATTTTTCAAAGTTTAGGGAATCTTTATCACTGATTCACTCATACTATACTATCTGGAAGTAAGCATCATCCACCTCTGAATTCTAACATTCATCGCTCTGCTTAATCCATTCCGCTAATGTTGTCTGTTATATATATATTTTTTTTAATAAATAGACAGTATTTTATTATGGTCATGGAAAAGAGATTCCCTCCATCCACAGTAGGAGACAGTATTTAAGTGGAGGTAGATAGATGACCATGGAACAGATCGTTTAATTAGATTCTCTTACCTTCAACTAATTTTTATATTTATCCTAGACTGGAAAGTCACAAGTGACAAGGATGCAAAATTCTCCTTAGATATAAGATAGAATAGTCGGTTTTTTTGATCAAAGTGGGGTCGTTGATCAAGTTATTTACGTAAATGAGGCTGTTTTGAATTTATTTACGCCTTTGGGGCTGTTTACAACGGTGTCGCTATAGTCCATAGCGTCACCCATGTCACGTGGCTTTTTTTTTTTTGGCGTAAGGATGGCTGGAATGAGCCACAACAGTGTCGTTATGAGCTGGACCAACACAGTTTGTGAGCCAACAAAGATGGTGTAGCCCATAGCAACACCATTTAAGAAAAAAAACAAAAAAAACTAAAATAATTTAAATGTAACCTTAAAATAATCAACTGAGTATATTTATTATATATTTATAAGAAAGCAAAATACTCGTCAAACGGCAGCGTTACATTCAGATCGCGAAACATATAGTCATATACATAAAAGAAATGATATTTACAATTCCCTCGATCCAAGAAGACGAAGTCCGGATTCGGCCCGCCATCGCCTCAGCACGGCTGTAACAGAGCACTATCAGCCAAGTAGGATGCCTGCCGAGCCGCCTCGGCAAACCTGGCCTGATGCTGAGAGAGGACCTTGTTGCGTGCCTTCTCTCTATAGGCACCAAAAGCAAGCTTCTCAGCTTCCAACTCTTTGGCCAAGATAGCACCCTTCTCCGTCTCATTCTTCAAGGCCAACTCAAGACGATGAACCTTCAGTGACAGGTCGTCAGCAGTTCGCCCCCGGCGGTCCAGCTCGGCCTGAAACTTGTTGTTGACTATTTGGGCATCAGTAAGCGTCGTCAACGTCTCTTGAAGAGACTTCTCCTGCTCAGCTAATTGCCGACGAAGCCCGTCGGCCTCGCCGTTTAGCTCCATCACAATGCTTTGTGACAAGGCCACAGCACGCACTTGGAACTCACAAAAGAAGCTCCATTTCTGAGCCGAGGTCATGCGACTTAGAATTCCTTGACCCGATTCGGAGGTCAAGTCTTGGCTCAGAAAATCCTAAGCGATAACATTGTTAGCCAAGAAGCTTGGTCCGACCAAGCCTTGTGGAACAGACGAATTGGCCAAGCGTTGTTGCTTGGCCCGATGGCTCTCTTCCTCGGCCCTCGAGTCCTCAGGCTATCTTTTTTCCCTTTGGGGCCGAATGGGACCCTTGCCCCCCTTCCTTGGTTTGGCCGTTGGTCCCACCCCACCACCTTGAGGATTCGATTGATTCCCAGCGACGTGCACGCCGGTCGGGGTCTTACTCGTTGTGGCCGCCGCCACTTGGTTCCCGATCAGCGTACGGATGTCCAGGTCGTCCTCTCCATAATTTGCCATGATACCTGCACATCATTAGTAAAAATCAATGATAACGTAAGAATTCAAAATAAGTAAGAAAGCTACTATACCGATTAACTCTTCTGTCGCGTTAGCCGACTCAAACAGTCAAACCAACGGTCGGCACGACAAAGGCCGAGGAAGCTTCTCCAAAAAATTCAAGCTATACCGCTCCTCCGGGGACAATCGAGACTTCGACACCGTATCGTATTTGCACGGTTTCCGGGTCCAGTATAGAAGGAACATCGGCCTCTCCTCAGCATCAAAAAAATATTTATTTCCCGTCGTTGGTCGAATCATTACCTTGATGAACCCTACCTTGAATTTCTTATAGGAAGTGGTAAACGGCTGTAACAAATAGTCTGCGTGCCGGACTAGAGACAACCACTTAACCTTCTTGGTAGGCCGAGACGAATAGAAGTATAAGAATAGGTGGGGAGTGGGCCTGATGCCGAGAGCCAAACACAACTGTCTGAACCCTTGCATCGCGACCCAAGTATTTGGATGGAGTTGGGTAGGAGCCACGTTTAACAACCGTAGTATACCAGCAAAATACTCGTCAAACGGCAGCGTTACATTCAGATCGCGAAACATATAGTCATATACATAAAAGAAATGATATTTACAATTCCCTCGATCCAAGAAGACGAAGTCCGGATTCGGCCCGCCATCGCCTCAGCACGGCTGAAAGAAAATCGGATGTCACCGGTGTCGCTATGGGCTATAGCGACACCGTTATAAGCAGTCCCAAAGGCGTAAATAAATTCAAAACAACCCCATTTACGTAAATAACTTGGTCAACGACCCCACTTTGGTCAAAAAACCCAGAAGAGTCTGCTTATAGAATTTGTGTTAGCATTTTTTGTAATGATAGGACTCATTTCGTAATTTTAATCTTGTTGCATATAACTTAAAAAGTTGGATTTATTGCGTAATGTCAAGCATAAATTGCTTAATTCAACTATTTAACACCTAACAACAAGATAAAATTACTTAATTTTAAAAATTGGAGACTAATAAGCATAATAAAAAAAAAAAGTTAAATAGTGAATTAGAAATTATAAGACCAATTGAAAGATGATTTTTCTTTAATTTACTTAGGTAAAATAAAAGTAACAAATTAGATATAGATATTAAATGATACAGTAAATTACATATTCTAAAGTTTCATGAAATTATACGCTTGTTGTTTTGTTTTTATCATTTACAACAATTTACCTAAAAAGAGATTATAATGTAATTTTTTAAATAATTAAAGAGGGTCAATGATCTTGTATTGCTTAACAGATATTTCGTTATGAATATGAAATCAAGACATTATGAATTAATGGAAATTTATGATTTTCACAATCAAGATCATGGTACAACAAAAAATAAGTGAAAAACAGAGGAGTTAATATTGATATTTATTTAAAAAAAAATAGTAAATTATGTGCCTTATTGCTATTAGTTAAAAACTTAATATTAAATTTAAAATTAGAATTTGATTTTAATATGCATATTTAATGCTCTAAAAAAATGATTTAGTTATACAATTAAATTATTCACTTAAATCATGTATGTTTGAAAGCTAAAACACCACATCAATCAAACAATCACCACAATCATTCCACACAATAAGATATTCAGGCCTTGTATATGAACATAATCAATTCACATCACATTATATGCAAACACCACAACAAATACATCATCATGCATTCACCTATAAATATCTCCTATACACTTGAGTAATCTAAGTGACTTAATTCTACTCAACCAATACAATCATTTTTCACGTCAAAATGCAGCTGCTCAATCATAGTTAAAATGAGATACCGATCCTTAACTTTTGATTTCTCAAGTGTCGCAACTTACACTAAAAAAGTCTGATTCCACCGTCAATAATAATATAGTAAAGTATAAGCGTACCACGAGCTTGACATGCATTATCAAGTCACATGTGAAGTTAGTTCACTAATTATTTATAGGAAATTACACAACCTTTTCAATAATCGGTTAAAAGTTATAACCTTTGACTTCTTATTTACTCTACATTGACTGAGGATCTAGAGAAAACTCGACAAAATTCATTTCAAGAGTTTCACATCTACTCAATGAAGGTTTTCACAATAGGCCTTCCAAAGTGCCAAACAATATTCCCTATAGGAGATCTTCAACTTTCAAATAACACACTCTTCTGTAGTCTTAAACCAATCAACATGTTTTAATGTTTACAACATTCTCAACATCCACGCCTCAACATATATCTCCAACCACTATAATATCTACTTACTCTCATAACATAAAACCCATTTAGGAAAGGGGAATTGACCCAATAGTTACCGTGTCACAATAAGGATTAAAGATTTTTTTTTTTAAATTATAGGGACTGAAAAAATTGATTTTAAATTTGAAGAATTAAAAACAAATTTATCTTAAATTTGAGAGACTAAAAACACATTTAAGCTTATACCCTATTTATATACTTAAAGAATGATAAGTAAGGTGGAGTTTGATAATTAAAAAGATACTTAAATATATATTTTATCGTTTAAATATGAGATTAACTTATTTTAATTTATTTCTCAAATTTAAAATTCACTTTTTAGTCTTTACAAATCCTTTGCTCAAATGTTATTAGTAAATTTGTTAAATAAAACTCACTTATTATTAAATTTGTCAAACAAAATTTACTTATTAGTATCTTATTATTAAAATATTACATTAAAGCTCATTTATGTTTCGTATGTGTTGTAATTTGTCATTGTTAATTATATTTTTGGCTGTTTTGAAAAATTAAAATAAAGTTTTTGAAATTATAGAGACTAAGAAAAATAGAAAATCAATTTTAATTTTTAGGGGCAAAACAATATATCTTAAAATTAACAAAGTAAAAATATATTTATTACTTAAAAAGTAATTTGATTGTGATATAATAACAAGTTGGATTAGAAATGGTTTTAGATTATGAACTTTTGTCAATTTTGAACAAATATATTGACCTCAAGAAGCAAAATATTAACCAGAAAAAACTTTAAGACTAAAATAAAAAATAAAAAATAATTTTAATCTAAAATAAATAAAAAAATCCAACTATTAAAAAAAACCGACAAAAATTGGAAGTAAAAAAATATACAATTCTAACCGGTGAAACGGAATCATATCAAGGTTTTTGGAACAAGAGATATTTTTTTGTTTTGTTTTCTTTCAAGACCAACCATACTTGAACAACACAAAAAATAAGAAAGAAAAGTGGAGCCGTTGGTCTTATCTCTTTATTTATCCAGACTCCAGAGTGTTGTGTTTATGCGATGCCACGAAATTACGAATGGCAACGTTAGAATCAGCTCTGAGCCTGTTCACGCCTCACCGATATGGTTTCCTTGCGAAAGCAGCGCATGCACCCACCTCCCTTCTCTTCTCTTCCAACCCCTCTTTCAGAACCCCAACACTACGCTTCCACTTATGCTCCGCTTTGCAAGAGCTGCCCACACCAACCCTTCAACCCACAGACAACGTCAAGAAGCTCTACGTCGTTAACTTATCTTGGTCTCTCTCCGCACCAGACATCAAGGACCTCTTTGCCCAATGCGGAACCGTAACCGACGTCGAGGTTCACGCCCTTGCTTTTCACTTTTCTTCATCAATTACTTCACTACCTGCATACATATGCCTAAAATTGCATTGCAGCTAATCTTCTGGTTGGGCTCAGACATTCACACTTGTCTCCCACTTCTACCACATGAAAATAAATTGGTTCGCTTATTATTTATTTATTTCCGTAGAATTGAGTTATTGTATTTTAGATTAGTTTTGTATTCTAAGCTTCTTTTATACATAATGATACAATATTGATATTTCCTTTAGACAAAAACTTGTGTATGGTTCCTTACGTGCTGTTTGTCCTGTTCTTCATTCGTCAATGATCTGCATTATTCTCAAATGTAAATCTTTAGTATGGGAATTACGGAAGTAAAATTTCAATTTTGATTCGAGAATAGCACAAACAACTCCTATAGAACTGTATATAACTTTTGCCCATTTCCTTTTGCTTAGGTACTGGAATGTTCTCCAGTAGAGGAACAATGTTGTCTTATTTTTATTTATTATTGTATAACATGGAGAAATGGGTTTTTATTATAGTAGATAATAAAGAACAAAGATGGGAGGAGCAAGGGCTATGCCTTCGTTACTATGGCTTCCGGGGAAGAGGCTCAGGCTGCTGTTGATAAATTTGACTCTTATGTAAGTTGCTTCCATTTATGTTCAATACATATATTTACCCCATGTATTCTGTTTGGTCTGCAGATTATATTGGATCAAGCTTATGTAGTGCTTATTTAAATTGGGTGTTTGCTGCTTCCACTTTCCTAATATTTGGTCTGTGTTTTGGTGAATTGCTCAGATAATTATCTTCTGAATGGTGACTCTAAAATTATGAATTTTCTTAATAGTACACAATAGCTGAAATGAAAGAATTCTTTAGTGTAGTAAACCAGGGAATCACATCTTTTTTGGTGAGTTGGAACATCCAAGTTATGTAAATATAGCCCATAAAATTTATAAGTCACAATAAAATGCAGATTAAATGCATGATTGCTCGCCCTTCAAACCTGCAATAACCAGTTCCTTTCATTCTCAATCCATTTATGCCACTCTACCTCTTATTTTCCACATTTGTTTGTTGCATGGTCTAGTGCTTACATCACAAGAGACTATGCAATTCAGTTATTTGAGGTCCAATTGAACGTGACATGCAAAAACTCGTCTTACAGTCTTAATTTGGTTGGGACTCTGCAGATTATTGCTAAAGCCTAAGAGTTTGAGTTTGAACCACAATTTCTTCAATGCCTTTTTGCTCTCTCAGAAGTGTGACGTGATTGAATGTTTTTCATGCCCAGAAAATAGAGTATCCAACCAAAAATGGTGCCTTTACCTAAAAAGGATAGTGGCACATAATAGGATCTCCTTATAAATACGATACAATTTTAATTATCTATAGCAATTTTGTTTTAAATGTTTTATCTCTGACAAAGGACTTCCAACGTCCTAAGAAGGTAAACTTTAGGGGTGATGCTTAGACATATTTTAACTACATGAAAAATTAATCTATAAATATTGCTTTGAATATCTTGGTGAACTTCATTATGGTGACAGGTTTGTTTACTTCAATTTGTGTAATTCAGGAATTATCAGGACGGATAATAAGGGTAGAGCTTGCAAAGAGATTCAAGAAACCTCCTCCTCCTCCGCCTCCTCCAGGTCCCCGTACTGGAGAGACGCGCCATATAGTTTATGCATCCAACCTTGCATGGAAAGCAAGATCTACCCATCTCAGACAAGTCTTCACTGAAAATTTCAAAACACCAGTTTCAGCCAGGGTTGTATTTGACAGCCCTACTGGTCGATCTGCTGGGTATGGATTTGTTTCTTTTCTTACCAAAGAGGATGCAGAGGCTGCCATTTCTACTGTGGACGGGAAGGTAACCATTACCTTATTGTTGGTTACTTGCTCTTCTATTTAAAGACTAGGATAATTTATTTGTGTTCATCTTCAATAGGCAGTATCATTATAATGGCTTTGAATAGCTATGCTTGTAGAAAATAATTTTTAATCAAAATTATTTCGCTTATCACTTTAGGTGTGCTTTTTAAGTTCAAGAGAACTATCCAATAGCTTTCTTTGATACAAAACAACAAACTACCTAAAGGAGACTCAGAACTCAAAAGTATTGTTTGGAACTGGATGCCTAAAGTATATTTGAGTATCTAGCTTATAGTTGTATTTAGGTTATTGAAAGATTGAGTGACTGGATATATGGTTGGAGGAATATAGGCCGAGTTTAATAGAAACAGTATTGTATCTTATTGCCATTGTCAAGATTACTAGGCTATATATGGTCGCTTCTACTGACATATGATACTGCCTGTAAACTTCCACCACCTGCTAATTTTTCACTTTTGACCTCCTTTACTTTTCTAGATTTTTTAACACCAATTTTGCTTCTAGACTTGTCCCCCTTATTTGGGTTTTGGCCATTGAACTCATTAGTTGCCAGGCAACGACGGTTATTGCCCAAATTGTTTTTCTACCAATAGCGAGTATTATATTACTTGCCAAATGTTGGATCTGGGTTGTGATTCCCAATGGTGCTTTTGTTTTAAACTAGGAAATATTAAGTATGAAAGTACCTTTGGAAAATGATGCTATATTACATTGATTCTAGAGTTAGATGCAGAGTTTTTGTCAGGCTTTTAGGTAATGTTCAAGTCTGATTGTGTCAATTGTTTTAATCTTGTTTGTAGAACTGCTAATTAATACAATCATGTAGCGGAAATAAGTTGACTGAGTGAGACAATTTATGACAACTTGGAAGTTGGAATAAACTGGATATCTTAAACAAAATAAACAAGAAGATGCATACATGTGGGGACTAGTAAGTAATTATTAAGTTAATAAAATTTTCCTGCTGTTTATCAGATCTAAAGCTGTGAAGTTTCCTGAATTTCATGTCTTGGATTAGGAGCATCTGGGTGTTTCTATCTGAGTGAGATCACTAGTTTGTTTGTGATTCTTTATTTAACTTTTCCATGTTTGGTTCCTCACAACCTAAGCGTGACTTTTGTCCATAGAACTATATTTCCAAGTTTCCTCTACCTTATTTGTTCTTAAGTCACTAACTCCAACTGCATTTTCATATAATTCCTGCTGAAGGAAACTTATTTATCCTTTGCCTATCCTTTTTCAGGAGTTAATGGGACGACCGCTTCGCCTAAAATTCAGTGAAAAGAAAGATAAAGAAGCTGGAAATGAAAAAGATGAAGACAAAGTTAATGATGCTGGAAGTGAAGATGAAAGCCAAGGTTCTGATGCTCAACCGGAAGAATCATAAGTTTTAGATGTTCATTTACTGATCTTTGTTCGTGGTATGGGATTGAGAGGAAATCTATACGAGCTGGAATTATACCGCATGTATAAAAAACTCTGATGGATGATTTTTTGCATTCACAATATTTTTGACTATGATCGACTTTACTATAGCTTTAAAACGTGGCTGAAAATTTAGGAAACATTTCCATATAATTTTTCTTATAAATCTTGTCTCTGAATATTATCACCCCAATTTTTAAAGATACTTTACGGGTGTTAAAACTCTAAAATCTTGGCAATTAAGTGTTGCACATGTATGTTGAGACTAATAAGTTCAATTCATTATATTTGGAACCATAGATCTGCATCTTGGCAGCTTGTATTCTATGATTCAAAAGTCTGAACTTTTTTGAAACCCTTTGAATATATTGAGGTTCTAGCTTCCATTATCACAATTCACTGTGAATCTATGTACCAAAAAATTTGAATGTGATACTTGGCTAGCACATATCAAGTTAAAATGCATAAATTGCTACCTAAGGTAACAAAACACTTTATGTAAACATATGATGATCTGCATTTAAACCATCTACTAAATTCTTTCTGGCTTGAATGTATGAAGCAAATGAAGAGTGAATACATCCCGGTTGATGCATCTCTTCTTGAGTTTGATGTGGGTTGTCCGTTGACGACGATTTGGGCTACACTATCATGTTTAGGTGATGCCCTGAGGTGCTAAATCTAAACTAGCTGATTTTGAGAATTTGAAGGGACGAGACACCATTATGATTATGATTTAGGAGATAACGTTTGAGGTTGGGCTAAAAAAATAATTCTTTGTCGTGGCCTTGTCATGCATCTTGTGCAATGTAGAGCATCTTCTTTTCGGTACATGCAGAAAATAATTTCATGTGGTGGCTCATGAAATGCACGTAGAACTTTGTAGAACTCAAATGGGATTGCAAGAATTTCACACTTTATGAAGTCCTTTAAAAGATTTTCGGAACTGGTATTCCCTAAAAAGTGAAATCCGAGGAGGAAAGTTGGAACGTGAACAGTAACTAAGTACATATAATTTGACTATTATTATGTTATTTGCTGCGTCTCGCATGTTGAACTAATTATTGTGATATCTGCTTTTGACCACAATTAAAAGCTCATTCTTCTTTGTGTTATACTGTGAAATCATGTTAAAACTTCTATAAGCAAATTCATATTAATTTAACAATTTTACAATTACCTTGAAACCAACACTCAACTGTTCTATTTTGTTCTTTATGAATACCAAAAATTAAAATTGTGCAGAAAAAAAAATTAAAAGGAGATTAAAGAGACTCAGTGACGTCAGAAAAAAAAAATTAAAAGGGACTTGAAGGTTTAAAAATGATGGTCCTCTTTAGTTTTGCTGTTGTCAAAAGACTCAAAAGGGTTTGGATCAGGAGTGTCTCGGCTTCTGTGCATATCATTATGTCTCCACAACAATTGAAAAAAAATCCCCGAGTGAGAGCATTTGATATTGACGCACATCATAAAGTGAATCATTTCAGCAATTTATGTCAGCAGAAAAAACAGAAGGAAAATGTTATAAAAGTAAAAATTTGAATGGTATCATAAAAGCTTCCCATACTTGGAAAATATTCTACATATACTCTCATTATTTTTGACGACCAACATAAAACTCATATATCTCTTGAATCACTGAGGACAATTTCTGTTAATCAAGCTGAATTTTTGTAGTCAATTTCACCAATTTGTTGTTATTATTATCTCCTTTTTTTTTTTTACCTGTATACCCCAAAATGGGGTGTAGCTTTATTATTGTTCAATGTAGTTTTAGGTCATGAAGACAGTTGGGCACAAAACGGACTCACAATTAGCAACTTCGTTAATTATTGATATTTCTGCTATTGTTTTTCTTTAAACTAAAGTTTTTTATGGTAAGGCTTACGCAGATGAATAATAAAATGCCAAACATGTTTACTTACATTAATTTTCATTATCTTATTAAATATTCCCCACTTATCCGAAGAAAGCAACATCTATATCTGCGTGTTTGATGAAGTCGAATGTGATCTGAAACCACTTGAAGTATGATATTTGTTAAATGCTAAGGAATCGTTGAAAATTTAAGTGCATTACAAGGGAGGAGAAATAAAATAAGCCCACATTTCTTTGCTTGTTGTGCTCAAGATGGCTAGACCCACAGGTTCAATTATTTTACTTATATATCCCTATGTTGTGCGCAAATTCAGGGTATCAGATAATTTGGAACTTTGTACGTAGGTACAAATCTAACAAAATTGCTTGGCTTCATAAAGAAGGAAATCGTACATCCAGCAAATGAAGTTGAAAATAGAAGAGGAGATGGCCCAAGGTTTGAGCAAATGGTTGGTTGGGTGTTGGATGAAAAGTCACAACTATATTTGACTGTAACTTGCTTTTAAACAAACACATACTCTATCTTTCTATTGCACCTTTATTCCCACAAGAATATATTCTCAAAATCAAGTTGACTAGCAATTTATTTAGGTTATCATGTGTAAAGATCATTGTTGTCGTGTAACATGGGATATCATCAATGATTACATATAAATTATAATTTCAGAAGATTATAGTTACCATTATGGAGTTAAACTTAATTATTGGTATGTGCTAGTGCTAGGTCATTCTTTTGGCCTCAAAATATAAACATAGAGTGAGTTTCATAGCAAAGTTAGTACATGAAATATATGCAGAGTAGAGAGATATTTACTGTTGGGATATGAAATATAAACATACACCACAGTTGGCCATGATTTGTGGGAGAAAGATATTTACTGTTGGGATCATGCGGAGAATATATGCAAAGTAGAATAGAAGTCAAGGAGATATGATTCATAAGGGAGACAATTAAGCACAATATTCAACGAATAACAATTAAGTCCTGGTGTTTCCAACACATAAAAATTCACTGGTATTCTTAAGGCCTCTTTGTTTTGTCGAGACTAAAGAATTTTGTAACTTGTTTCTACTCAAGCATTCTTCTCTACATGACACACAAGTTTTTAGGACATTTTTCTTTTGAATTTTTATTAGTGCACAGTAGCCTTGTCTAGGTGATACATTGAAAGCAAAAAGGAAGAAATTTCAAACATATCCAGTTCTGTTATAGATACAGCTATTTTACGGCCATTGGCTCCACACATAGGTAGGCACACATTAATGAAGTTATTGAGCTAATTTGGATGACACTTTACACGGACTAAATCGTCCTGTTACTTAAGTAGTGAACATGTTAAAACAACTAAAAGAGAAAAAGCATTCAATTTTTATAAATTCTCAACCAACATCACCGGTTCACCACCACCTCTTTGGTCTACAAATCATTGTAGCCAAGAAAAAGAAACTAGAAGACAGAGAAAGCTATGGAGAATGGACAGAGAAAAAGAAAAAGAAGGTGAATGAAAAAAGTTAAAGTACGCTCATCAGCACCCCATTTTCTTTGTCTTTTCCCTGCTTTCCATCTAAGCCCTTTGGCCCCTTTTCCACGTTATCTTTTCCCTTGACACAAACTTAAATCCTAGCTACTCTCTCTTTCTTCTTGCCCTTTCCCTTGCACGGATAAATCTATAAGACCATTACCCTTTTCTTGCTTGTATGTTACTAATCATTGTTTATGAGATAGAGATTCTCACAATCTCGCCCATTTATTTCTCTAAGTTTGCTTGATGTAGATGCTCCAGTTATGGTTTTGTAACTTCTTTGCTTGTTTCTACGTTTGTCTGATGGTTCAATTCTTTTGTTGTCAGTGGTAAGTAACATTCTATTATTCATAGAATCATAACCTATTTTTATTCTATAAAAGTTACATGCCATAGAAGGAGAAAATAGAAAAACATGTTCATAATATTTACTTATGTCTAAGTATATATAATAAACTGCTCCAAAGTCCTAAGTCCTAATTCATAAGGTTTTCCCACCATGGCTTCTCTAGGCAACCCAAAAAGTTGGGTTCCATACATGGACAACAAAGACTGTTCTCAAGGATTTTGTAGCTTGTATTGTCCACAGTGGTGTTATGTTATCTACCCTCCTCCTCCTCCCTTTGAATTTCCTAACGATGATTCAAGTCCAAATTTCTCCCCTCTAGTTATTGCAGTAATCGGGGTCTTGGCCAGTGCTTTTCTCCTGGTGAGTTACTACACCATAATATCCAAGTTCTGTGGCAGCAGAGAATCTTCACAAAGCGAAGACCACGAAGAAAACGTTGAATTGGAAGAGGATCACAACCCTTCACTCCACGAGCCTTGGCATGCTCCCACTATTGGCTTAGATGAGGCCTTGATCAAGTCCATAACAGTTTGCAAGTACAAGAAAGGTGAAGGGTTGGTTGAGGTAACAGATTGCCCCGTTTGTCTCAGCGAGTTTCAAGATGATGAAAGTGTTAGACTCTTACCTAAATGCAGTCACGCTTTTCATCTTCCGTGCATTGACACGTGGCTCAAATCTCACTCTAGTTGCCCTCTATGCCGTGCTAGCATATTCACCTTCAACGCTGCAGCACTTCATGTTGCTGCCCCCGTCATGGAGCTTCCTTCAAGGAGCGAAACTTCTTCACAAAACCAACATGCAGATGAAAACGTGGCAACAAGGCAGAGTGAATTGGATGATGCTGTGGAAGAAGTGTCACGTGGTGGAGAAGTTCCTAAGACTGCATTGCGTGCTTTGAGTGATCTAGGGAATTTGAGAGGAAGGCATAGTGTGATTGAGATTAGAGATGGAGGGTATGATTCCATTAGAAGGACGGTTTCTATGGATCATTCGTTTCAAAGTGGTACTGGTCTTTCAGTTGGTGATGTTCTGCATGTGCATCAAGAGCCATCAAAGGGATCAAATTCAAGAGGTGAAAGTAGCAAGTCTAGCTATAGAAGAAGGGTTTTGCATTGTGTTTTGAGTCCAATTGCAATGAAGAGATCATTTTCAAGTGGAAGATTCTCACTTAGCAGAAGTGGCAGAGGAAGGCAAGGGATTTTGCCTGTCTGAGGAATGGAATGCCTTAAATGTCTTTTCTTTACCTTATTTTTGTCCTCTTACTTATGTTGATGAAGATCAAGAGGTTGACCAAATTTTTGAGTGAAGATCTTAAATATGAATGAATCTTTATATGGCATATTAACCAGTGTGATATCAGTAGTAGCTGAAAAACAACTTTTTTTTTTTCATGTATATCTTTTTTGGGTTTGTATTTTGATCAGTGAGTTAACATTTTGGTAAAGATCAAGTGCTGTCTCCCTTGTGTTATTAACTGGAAGGTTTTATGAGCACCTCAAACTCCTCTTTTTTTTAACATGTGAACTTGGAAGCCATATGTAATGCATCTCTACCGCTAGCTCTGCATCAAACTGTTACACCATCATGGATTATTTATGCATACTTTCTTTCTAATAATACTTTCACGTAATTAATCCACTTAAGTTCAATTTTAATACTAAAATCTTACCTCAATCTGTCAATTCATTATATCAAACGACACAATGGTTCCTACATGCAATGTATAAAGGATGATACTACTTGTGTACCCAAGTTAGCACACTGCCTGTTCATCATTTTAACTTTTTACATTGATGTTTTTTCAAAATGTTTAACTGATTTAATTTCTAAATATCTATAAAGTGTCTTAACTGGTTAAAAATTATGAAAATTTTATTAAAAATCGCTTCTAATTCTTGAACTAAGTACACTTAACAGTATTATTCTAACTAAATAATGTGCAAATTAGTACATTCACGATTCACGTGAAAATGATGTATGCTTTATGATTGTGCAAAACCATATTTATCGTTTTCATCATCTGCTTCTGCAATTCAATTACTGGACCGTAACTGTGTGTGACACTGATTTTTGATGTACCATAAGGTGTCAAATCAATAGTGACAGAATTGGTATCAGGGACCGTAACCCACTCCATTATTAGCGGGTTGGAAAACGCACCCTTAAATAATTGTGTCCTGTTGTCACAGTAATTGGGCCAGGGGAGAACATTCAAATTCCATTCAACCATTCATATTTTTCTTAAAGCCATATTTATTCATTTTTCAACCAATTATGAAAAGAAATGAAGTCATTTTGAACCCTTTATCCTAGATTCAGAGTCAAAAAAGCTGCGATTTGAAATCAAATCTTACACTCTTTCTCATACACTATGAAAAGACTTGAATCATGCATGTTCATCCCCTGACACAGTGACACTTATCCTCAAATTCACACTACCAACTACCATGCTATTATTCCTGAGTCAGTTTGATGAATATTTAACGAATCCTGAGTCAATTTGTGAGGAATTTCAAAGAATGATCAGGATCATAATAGTGACAATCACAGATTCGAATGATTTCGGATATTTGAGAATAACTTATGAGGCCAAATATGTTAACAGTTTGAAATAGAGATATATAAGAATGCTATTGATACTGAAATAAATAAGATGATAGCACAAAGTAATACATGTACTACTCTCTTAAGAAAGATTAGACGTACACAAGCACACTTTAGCAACACTAAGAGAATAGCAATTAATTAACTACCAGCTAACAAAATAGCAATCAACAAAGCAACACTCAGCATATGTGGTTGATAGATTTGTTCTATGAAGGTCTTTTGACACCTCAACTTGGATACTTGGCCTTCTTCATGCCCAAAAAGGAAATTTTAGGGGCATTTTTTTTATTATTTAAAACATCACATTTTGAGTAATTACATTCATATTAAATCTGGACTGTTAAACTAGATGAATTCATTTATGTTGACAAAAAATATATATATATAAATAGTCAAATATAGAATCATTTAGTTCCGTAAAGGATAAAATATTTCCAAATATTGCCCCTTCATAAAAAATAATATAATTCATTTATAAGACTCAAATTTCAGTGAAAAAAATTACCATCTTTAAACTCTTATTTATTTTTGGCAATGACAACGGAAAAATTATTTTCGTAGGACAGTGTATATCGAGTGTTACATCATATGTCAACACACTTCATAGAGACGAACAAAATCAGTAATTATGTTTGCTTTTGAACCCATTGCCCAATTCCCAGCAACCGGGAATTCAGTAAGTTCTCCGCAAACAAGATTTTTTAAAATAAATTTATGTTAAAATACTTTTTTTTAAGAATTTATATAGTTTGATTTACTTTACTTTTTAGTCTTATAATTTAAAATAGACTCTTTTAGTGTTTGTATTTATCTTTTTCAATTCTTTTTAGTCTCAACAATTTTTAAGATAGATTTTTTAGTCTCTATTTATATATATTTTAAATTATTTTTAGTCTTTATTATTAATTTTTTTGTAACATTCTCTCTTTCTTGTTGTCATAAAAAAGTATTAATTCAACTATATATATTTGATATCGAATTTATTTTGTTGGAGTTTCTCTAAATTAGATTTATCCATGTTTCGCGCCTATTTTATATTTTTATGTGTGACGTTCATTGTTGAGACATCATTTTTTTTACTTTTATAAAGTTGAAAATTTCTACTATGTTAATATAAAACAAAAGAACATTATGAAAAAATTAATGATGGGACTAAAAAGATTACAAAATTACAAGTATAAGACTAAAAAGATTTATCTTAACTTATAAAAATTAAAAATGATTGATAAAATAAGTGAAATTATAAGTATTAAAAAAATATTTTAATTGTATATTTATTATAATAATACCCTTATTTTGATCATTTTAAATATGAAACTTTGTTATGCAATATGTTTAAAGAACTTGACGATGCCGTTGGATTCAGATCTGTACAATTTGTTCTCTCTATTTTGGAACCATACAACATAATTGACGCAACACAAGAAGACAAAATTAATTAAAGAAAACAATTTTGAGCACAACAAACTATATACTAAATTTTAAATTAATTTCGAATTCATGCCATGCTCTTTTATATTTGTTACAATATTATTAATTTATTACATTTTCAAGAGTGTGAAATGACAACATTGAAGCCTTCCAGTTTTTTTTTTCTTTAAGGATAAAAAGAATAAATATTTTATCAATTTAGTTTCCAAAATATTACTCCCTCTCTTATATAGTCTCTTAAAGTAAAAATATTTAAGTAATTTTTTTTAATATTGATCATCTATTAATCTAGTCTCTAAGTTGATACGCGGAGGGGAGATGGATAAGAGGTTTTATTGGTGACATTTGCATAGTAAATAATACTCAACCTGGGCTTCTTGCTCTACAATGGGATTTTGAAATTGCTTGGAGACAATAATTTATTCATTTTGTTTGTTGTTCATACTCTACTCATGTCCTATCGTTACTAACAAAGTTTAGGCAACATTTTCATAGATATGCAACCATTATCTATTGTATTTGAAGAAGTTTTGGAATATTACCCTCAAACATACTCTTAGAGACAGTAATAGTTGTGCAGCTAAACTAGGTTTGAACTCTAGTAATGTGTTGCAAGCAGTGTTTTAAAACCCGGACCGACCCGGCCGGTCGGACTGGTTGGACCGGGAACTGGTGGTTCAGCGAGTTCGAATCTGAAGTTGGATCGGTTATGCAGTCGACCCGTTTCAAACCGGATTGAACCGGTCAACTTTCCGGTTCAACCGGTGAACCGGTGGATCAAACCGGTTCAATATAATGAAAATTGAATCTCTTAATGAAAAAGCAAGGAGTCTTATTAAATATAACAATGACTACTTGTTCTAATATATTTGTTTGCAATATATACAACTTAAATAACTTTTATAGTATATTATTAATTTTAAATTATATATTTAATAATGCAATATCTATGTAAATATTACATATATTATTTTGTGATATTAATTGCAAGCATATTATATATGTACATATTATTTATATTTTTAATTTGTATTAATATACCGTTTAACATGTAATTTTTTTATGTATTTTTTTACAAAATAAAAATAAAAATAATTTTAAATAAGATAGAAAAATTAAAATTTAAAATAAGATATGAATTTATTAAAATTTATAAGTATAAAATATATTTAATATAAATATTTTTTAATAAAAATCGAATCATGCGGTTCAACTAGTGACGCACCGATTCAACCTTTGACCCACTGACCCAGTACCTTAACCGATTCGATGACCGGTCCGGTTTTTAAAACTATGGTTGCAAGAGTTGGATGTTCCTCCTATTGTGCAACACCATGAGATGTCCTACATATATACGCTTGTAATTTCTATTTTGTTTCCTTTTATTTTATCTTACATTATTGAAAAAAAGTCTCTAAGTTGATATATTTATTTAACATATAAGAATCAACTTAATATTCTAATTAAAAAAACAACTTAATAAATTTTTTAATACTTTAAAGACTATTTATTATAATTTATGGTGTTTAAAAGATTACTTATACAATTTTCTAACTCTAGAGATCACTTAAAACAAAAAATAATACTTTAGAAATGAAATTGAGAATTTATTAGAACACATCTCCTAAGGGCTAGTGATTTAAGATCATCTTCAATAAAGATTCTTATCTAAGTTCTTAAACATAAAAATTATTTATTAATATATTTTCTTATTGGAACATGTTGACATAGATAATAGATGCAAGAATCATTCTTACATAAGAACTCTCAAAAGTTGATTTTTATTAATAAAAAATACTTTAATATTCTCACTTTTTATTAAAAAAAATGTGGAGTTCATAAAGTAAATTAAGATTTCAAGCTATATTTTTCCATTAAAAAACAGAAAAAAATTCTAAATGACATTCAAGGACTAAAAAAATATATTAAAAGCTCAAAATGAGTTTATTATTGAAAATGCTCTAGAAATTAGTGCAAAACCAAGGTTTTGTTACGAGTGAAGGAGACTAAGTGCTTATTTGGAACTATATTTTCTTAAATTTGGAACTCCATTTAAAACGTGTATGTTTATGCTCTTTTTCCACATTAAAAATAAAGGACGTAAAAACAATTTCAAACTACTTTTTGATTTAACGTGAAAAACTAAATTAATACCATAAAACCAAACATGCTGTAAATAATCAGTCACTACATTTGCCTCCATTTACACACGTGACACTCTAATCTTCCTAAGATCTTATTGCATGTGTAACATGGATTTGTATGCTATGGATAAAATTACCTACTCCTTTATGACAAAAGTGCACAATAATTTTAGAATCGCATTCCAATGGAAGATGTGGCAGCATTTCATGCCACTTCAAGAGCAGAAAGCAATTTCCGATGCAAAGCTGACATGATCACATTTGATGAGCCTAAATTCCTGATGAACCCCATCATCCACTCACCATGTAAGATCCAAAAACCCCATACATGATTCTTGTTGAACACAACACAACCATTGATATTGGCTTTGATTCATCCTGTTGGTGGAGATTCCCACTTTAGGTGATAATCTTGATACTGAAAATTGGACCCCCAACCACGTAATAACTCAGCCAGCGATAACATTAGCAATTTAGCACCCCACGCTACAAACCAAATGTGTACTTTACCATCAAACACGAATCTGTTGTGCGCTTGCCACAATTAATGACAAACAATTCTTGAGTATTATAGTTCAAATGTATTATCAATATATATTGTTTATATGTATAGTTTATACATTTAGTCGTATATGGTATATGTATTATCTGATGGTATCATCTGATAGTATAGTTTGTAAGTATCATATATATACCTTGATCTGTCAAGTTTATATGTTTGTATCATTTGTCCATGTATTCTATAAATAATGTTTGTATTATTATTCATTAATAAGATAAATGAGTAGTCATGTGTAATATATAAATATGAGAATAAAGTTTTTTTTCTACTTAATTTTCATTCTATGATCTCTGAGTATGTGAATTTTTGTGTGTATCATCCCAACAAATTGGTGTCAAGAGCTTGTTGATTGTGAGGGACCTATGAGTGATGTGTGTGAAACTTATTAAGTTGTAAGGTGTTCTAATGTTAGGAAAACTCTTTCTTATGTGAGTTTTTACTATCCATGTGTTGATACTTCTACTTTCTTGCATGGGAAAGTGAATCATGAGTGGTTCTTATAGGGCATTTCCTATCAACTTATCTATTTTTCATGGCAAACACTTTGAGTAGCGGTGTATGAAAATGGGTGTCATTTTTTATTTTGAAAAAGTGTTAAAAATAGTGAAGAACGAAATTTAAAAATATTTAGACATATTTCTACCAATGATATTCGTACCCATACTTTCGGTTTCTGAAACAAGGAAAAGTAGGCTACCATCGAATGAATGCAAACCACGTCATACCAAATTGCAAAACCTATATAATGTTTGGTTTTATGATCATTAACAAGGAACTAAAATACACCTTAAGCATATAATTGTCAGTTTAATTAATTTGGTACGCTCATAGATATTTTTATAGAGTTAAGTCAACTATTGTGCATGGACTACAATATATAATTTTCTAATACAATTTAGTTTTCTGGCAAAGGGTCCAATTAATTTTTTATACGTATAACATAAGCTTCTAATTATATGTACGTATAATATTATGTAAAGTAATAACTTCCCTAATACATTATATTATTCTAATGATTAATAATAATATTTATATTTTTTTAAATGCATTAAATAGGAGGATATGACATGACTCAATTTTTTATTGTAAGGTGAACAATTTCAGGCATACAAACTAAAAGTATTCATTAATTGTAATAATAATAATAATAATAATAATAATAATAATAATAATAATAATATAAAAAAGAGTATTCATTTAAGGTAAAACTTGTCATAGCCTATTTAGTTTTTTTATGACATCACAGCCTATTTAGTAAAAAATGTCGTACATAGATTTTCCTTTTTAGGTGATAATGTCAAGTTCTGGCCCTTGTGGACTTTTCGAAAAGTCTATTAGAATTGTCAAGTATTCTATCATATTTTTCAACTAAACATATGTTATTGCTTGAGCTATTTTAATACGTAATTAATTAACTGTCAATTAATTAAAATCCAATTTTGATATAACTTTAAGCATAATTATTATCAAAATAATTTATCATATCTGTTTTAAAAAATTCAGCAATTAAATCGTTAAAATTTGATATAAAACATGAGTTATTAAACGAAATAAATCTAGATAGATTTACTCTATAAATTATAATATAAAAAGATTTTCTTGTCTATACATATATAACTTTTTTTCTCTTTTGATATATATATAAAAATAAATATGCTTTAATTTGTGAGCATTTTCAGTGTGATAAGCATATTAAGCCATAAGCCTAGGTTTACTGATAGATCTGGATCTGTTTGCTTCTGAATTCGCTAGTCTTTATAGTATGGATATGGGTTCATCACCCTATAACCTATTAGGTTATTTAAGGATGCACATGTCGGCTTAAAGCCTTAACAGGAAGACAAATGATATTTATACTTTTCCTTGTTAAGCTATTAATAAGTATATGTTTCTGTCGTTTTTTAAAAAAATCATAATTACCTTCGTAATTTATTTCTTTTAAAAATGAATTTTCTTTCTAAAAAAATTCTTTTATGCTCATTTGAAATCTCTTCTTCTACTCCTTTCTTCGATTGTTACTTTATAACTGGTTACTTTTCATTGATTTTTTTTTTTGCCTTTTCTTTCTTTGTTCTTTTTTTAAAATAAAAAAAAAATAAAAGATGCACCTCATCTTCGTTGTCATTTAAATCCTATTTTCCAGTTTTATCATACTCAGACCGGTCCAACTAAACCAACTAGCTAGTTTGATAGAAAGCCAAACCTCTAACAGGTTTGGTAAAGTCATTAGATCAAATTGTTAGAAAAAATTTTAATCCTTATAATTTTCACATTCTTTATTCTTCATAAGCAAAAGGTTTATATATTAAAAAAATTCGCTAAAGGTCCAAGCATCTAGAACATATTTTTTTATTAAGATATAAGATAAATACAATTCCTTACCTAAACATTCTTTACTCTATACTATTGTAGAAACCTTAATTATGACAATTAATTTGTGATCATGAGTAAAGGGAGACTATGATCTTATAATTCTTCCTCAATTGAATCTCTTGAGTCCCCTAATGGAACCTTAGTGTCTCTTCAAATAGAAAAGGAGTAAAGTTGTGATACGGTATACTGGGATCATATATAATGTTTTTATAGTGTGTTAATTTAAAAAGATTCTAATTATCTCCTAATAGGTCAATATTGACATATACTTGTTTAAATTCGTCTCACCTAATTTAATATTCTAATGGACTCACTTAATTTCACTAAATAAAATAAAGCTCATTAATGATAAATAAATAATATAATTATTTTATAATTTTAATCTAAATTAATTATTAAAATATAACATTTCTAAGACAAACATGCTTTCAATCATACAGGTGCTGAAATCATTGAGCCCAAGTTGAATCAAATTGATCCGGTAAATTCGATGACTTGACTAATAAACGAAGACAATATATAAAATTACTCTATACTATCATCACATCACTTATTTTCTTTTAAGAAGATATTTCATGATTATAAATATAATTTTATATCAATTATAGTTATTTTTATATTAGACATAATTAAGGTATCGAATAATAAATTTAGTTTCCTAATAAGGAAAATATATTGGTTTCAAACAAAAAATGAAAAAAAATTCAAGAAATTAGTTGACATCTCATGTGCTTGTGCATGTCTCAATTTTAATTTATATGTTGCAAGGATAGATTTGATTTTTCTTACCATTGCTTCACTACTAATATTATATACCAACATTAAGAGAGTAATTAAGCCTAATATACCTAACTATATCCGAGATTTTCCATTTACTAGTAATAAAATGATAACAATGTATGTAAGCCAGAAAATTTTTATCTTATAAATTAATTTTATAAAATTGAGTTAGATTTTAATCCACTAATATCAAATTTAAATTTTGAATTTGATAAAAAAAATGATGTAAAAAAAACTAATCTTAATATAATCAAAATCTAAAAAAAAGTCTAACAAAATCAATAAATACTCTTACAAATACTATAATAAAAGGAAAAACTCTAATCTACTTTCTTAAAAAACTATGAGTAATCTTAAAGCACATTTTGAACAGCAAAAGATAAAAAAGATTGTAGCAGAAAAAAGATGAAAATAAAAAAATAACCCCTAGAAATTAGAATAGAAAAGGAAGAAGAAAGTTAAATATTTTTAATCCCATTAAGCGAAGAGCTATCAAATACAGTTTGAACATAACCACAATTACTGCAAGGCGCAGCAAGCCTCGCCATATCTCTGTAACTAGAACAACTCTTGGAGTAACCGTGCCCTCCCTTTAAAATTTTCAACTCCACATGCTCCTGCAATCTCAACGTGTATTTATCATCATCATCACCACCGTCTCTTCCTTCATCTCCTTCTCTAACCATAACAATGGAATGCCCCGTCGAGTGCGACCGTGCAAACTTCTGCTGCTGCATGTTCACATCCTCGACGTCATCACCACCGCTACGTGTCCCATCCGCATCACCTTCTTTCACGTCAATGCACACGTGATCCACGTGCTCTTCTTCTGCACGGTGGAGATTCTCCCCGTCGTGTTCCTGAGGCTTCTGCAATTCGTTGGTTTGTAGCTCAAGATCCGTGCGACAAACGGGGCAAGTCTTGTGAGAACGGAGCCATAGGTCAATGCACTCTTGGTGGAAAACGTGGTAGCAAACGTTTAAGAGTCTCAGCATGCTATCTTCGTCGAACTCCAACAAACAAATGGCGCATTCCAACGAGTACTTCTTCTCCTTGCGGAGATCCTTCACGGCGGCGTAGAGGAACGTGGGAAACGCTTGCAGAAGAGAAGGGTCGAGCCCCCTATAAGGAGAAGCATTGGGAGAGAGACGAAGGAGCGTGTTTGACGCTGAGATGTTGACGAAGCAACACCTGCAGAAGAAGAGGAAGCTGAACCCCACGAAGCAGAAGACGACGACGGCGACGGTGAAGACGATGAGCGCCGACGGGGTGATATGCGGCGCCGGTGGCGGTGGCGGTAGCGTTTGGGAGTTCTCCGGTTTGAGTTTAGCGAAGACATTGGTGGGCGTTTGCATGGATGAGAGAAGCCTAAGCGCGCGCAGTGTGGAAGCAGGAGAGAATATTGATGTCGTTTTTTTTCGAATTTTCTTTTGGTTTTTTCTTATTCTTTGGTTTTGAGGTTCTTTCCTACGCATGGAACGTGGATGAGTGTAGAAGGAAAAACAAGTGAATGTGTTTTTAGCGGTAGATAGTGTGTTGGCTTATTATGGGATGTTGGTGATGTGGAGGGTTGGTTTCATTCGCATTGAACGAGTCCTTATGAGAGGGACAGGGGCTTATGTCCGAACACTCTCTACGATAAATCTGAATCAATCGAAGGTTTCTACCATGTTGTGTGTGTATAAACATCTTAAGTTCTTGATCGATTATGTTATTTAAAAGGTTAATTGATCCATGTCACCCTGCATAATTAAATTAATCAAGAAATTATACAATAGAGTAACGATTTTTCAACATTCTGATTTTTCTAAACAACGAAAAATTATCACAAGGAATAGACTATCAAAATGTTAGTGGTCTTTGTGAATTTTTTCATAACATGTATTTAAATTTTAGTTTACAAATAAATTAATTACATTTTATTATATTCATGTAAAAATTAGTTAATACATGCATTTCATTATTTGTTATGCAGAAAGTAGTCAGAGATTGTGTTATTGATTACCTAATAAATTTTGTTGAACAATTGTCATTATTTCTCTTTCCATTTATATTATTATTTAATACATTTGATTATTTGTTATGCAGGAATTAGTCAGAGATTGTGTTATTGACTACCTAATAAATTTTGTTAAACAATTGTCATTATTTCTCTTTCCATTACCACATATCATGTTATATATATATATATATATATATAT